GGTCCTCACGTGCACGCCGAGGCCCAACTCGGCTTTCAACTGCGCCGCCGAGTGCTCGCCACGCGATGCAGTGCGCACAAGACGCCTGACCTCGCAATCTGTCAGTGCTGGGGGCGCTCCGCTTCGTTTGAGGGGCTTCGCGGTCTTGCGTGCCTTGGGTGGAGGCTTGGAAGCCAGTGCACAGCGTATGGTGTCGGTGCTGCGGCCGAGACTGCGCGCGATAGCGCGCTTGGGGGCTCCAGCCTCAAAGAGGCCGTCAATCCTCCCCCTCTCACGCTCGGTTAATGGAGGCTTCCTGGGCTTCGGCATCTTTTAGAATGAGCCATGCACTCCACGCTCATGGCAGCCACCCACCAGGTACACGGGCTGCAGCCACAAATTTTCAGCTTTAAAATATACTTGATTTTTGTATAGTCTGTACTGTCCGATCTGATCTGTCGTGGAGCTGAAAGTGGAAAGTTGTATTGGAGGTCCCCCACTGCGGCCGAATCTGCGCTCGTTAGCGCTACTAGGCTTTTCCTACTGTCAACAACTCGCATATATCTAAATAGTATGGCCTAACTCGCAGTATTGACGGCGCTAGAGCACCGTAAGTGGGTGTCTGATGTGATCTGTCGCGCAGTGTATAAAAAGAGTCGATTTATCTTAGATTGGTAAATCACTACAGGAGATGATGGATTTAGTATCTGCTGCCAGAGTAGGGACGTTTTTGGATTAGTTTAAAACTGTCCAAAACACTTCCAGAAAGCGTCCAAAATTTCATTCAAAATTCAAAACAATCTAAAACTAACAGACAGAATATTCTCATTTTGAGGGTCATGGAACAGCTCGACAGCATCAGCTTCTCGGTGAAGCCCCAGAACGCACGAAACTCTCGGGTTGAAATCCACGGCTTCTCCCGTGCTCAGCACGCGATCTGCAATAGTCCACTTCAAGACATCTGAGCCAGTGTGTGATTTCCTGGCCACGACGCAATTGTCCGCGCCTACCGCCCGCTCGTGTTGACTCCAACGGCAGCAACCACGACAACTATCTCCGGCTGAAAGTGCAGCTTGCCACTCTGGAGATGTCCTAGTGAAGTGGCAAAGGTGACACGGATATCACGCGACGACCGTCGGTTCATTCGACGACCACTCTGTCTGGATTGTCCTAGCTTATTGAACGACACCAACACGTCCGTGTGGATGATATACCAAATGGGATCCGCAAGATGGTCCACAAAGCGTTCCATGCCAGCGTCAGCGATGTAGTGAGCTCGGGGCTTTCGCCTATCAGGCCGGTTTCAACGAAGACGTTGAAGTTTAAGTCATCGGCTCCGAAACAACATGCAGGAACAAGTTCACTTTCATACGAGCTTTGGCTCCACCCATGACCTCACTCAGCTCTTTGTCCGAAAGAAGGAGGTGCTCTACGACAGCAGATAATGTTTATCGCGGTGGCTCTTCGAGATCCAACGTCGTCAGCAATATGAAGGTTGTTCACGAGCAAATCTTGCATCTCCTACGCATCTTTGGTATGTTGTTGGCTCATTTGGTGGCTTCCATTGAAGAGCGGGGAAGTAAGGAGCACGTGTTCGACACTGAGACCAGCCAATCCAGTTCTGATCACCGTCACACGATAGTTGCTTTCGAGTGTATTGTCGGTTCTTTTAGAGGTGAGATAGGGTTGTATTGCAAATTGAAGAATGACTTGGTTTGTAGTATTTGGTTTTGCACTTCGCTAGATAATTTCTCGATTCAAGTTCAAATAGTGGTGCAGGAGAGAAGAAAGAAAAATCATAGCTGATGTGATGATACTTCCTTCATTTCGACGACAAACCATGCCAACCATAAACTTAAATGCATTCAGTCGATCACGCGAAGGTGACGAACACGTACTGCAGATGATTCTACTGTAAGTATCGGTTGTGGCCATTAGCTACATGGTTTGATTCATACTCAGATAATTGTGTAGTATTTATTGGAGGATTTCGTGATCAATCTACACTTTCAGGACACGATTGACGCCTTGCAAGATCAATTTCCTCCCTTTGAATTGTGCCGTAGTTGATGTAGATATAGGCAAGCATTTCAACCTTCTCCACCGAGAGCCTGTTCCTTCGCTCGGAGTGAATGTGATCGAATATACTCCAGGCTCTCTCACTGGCTGCCGATGAAGTCGGTATCGCAATTATAGTTTCAGCTACCTTTTTTGAGAAGAGGATAGTTTTTTTCATCTTTGCACCCCAGTAATTTAGTGGAGAAGCTTCTAAATACTTCATTCGTAGATCTTCACCACCCCTCCGCTTCATGCATTTAAATTTGAGAATCTCAGCGGTCAACTTGGCCAAATTTGCTGGGGATATCAGACCGCATCGTGGTGCCAGCCTGCAAACTTGATCATCTACGTTTTAATCATCTTCACCGACAAAGTCGTCGAGGTTGGTGGCTGGATCAAGCAAAAATGCAACGGCCATTGCGTTGGTGTGGACGTACTTCCATCGTTTTAAAATCTTCACGCGATAAAAGGTTTGAAGTTGACCAAGCGGAACTACGGTGATACGTTGATACTCGCCTTCGTCAGGAAGGTCAGCAGCGGCAGTTTGATTCAGATTTTCTTCTACAGAAGTAGTCGACATGGCTTCGGCTGCAAGACTGAGCATCCCAATTCCAACTGAGGCCTGGTAATGGCTTTCTTGTTCAGAGCCAACTTCGTCCGATTCTGTTAGCTCTGCTTCTGGCTCTTGTTCATTAGCTAAAGTCACACCATATGCTATATGATACCGTAGCCATCAAAACGATGTATACACACCGGCAATGAATCCACTGTCCGCTTCTAGAGCACAGAGAGCTTCTATAATGGGGTCAAACATACGAACTATCGTTCGTA